TTGCGAAGGTTGTATCGGTATTGAGAGAATATCAGCTGCGTTACGATTTACCCATGCTGAAAAAGTAGGAAAGAAAAGCATTTAGAATTTAAAAAAAAATTATTTTAGTAAGATTTAATTTTTATGTGAAAAATTCTCACGATCGTGAGAAATTTCTTTCCTGCATAAAACTATTTGGCTGATGATCATTGAGATACTTATTATTTATTTTAAATTTCATTTTTCGAATATCTTTTAAGAATAATTTTTATTTTAATATTTAATTTTCTAAATAATACAAATTTTATAATACTTCATATTTAATAAATCATTATATATAATTTAAATTATTATCATATAAAAAGATTTAAGTTTTAAAGATCTTTTGATTAAAATTAAAATTTTAATATAATAATATCAAAAAACTAAATGCAATAAAAATTTCAAAATTTCTCAAGATTTGATATTCTTAATAATGTTTTTATATAATAGATTTAATAGGATTTGAAATATTAAAATCAATAAAAAGTTTATAATAATACATATATAAATACAGTTAACTTTTTATAAATACATCCTTTATAAATATATACCCTTTATAAATGCATTCTTTTATTTGATCCCAACTTGAACCTTAATGCTAAATACACGTTTTTATATATATACTCTCTGTAAATACACTCTTTATAAAAATTTTATATAGTTTACTTATAAATTTTTTTATTACTTTAATTTTAGATTAATATTATATAGATTTATATATTCTATAAATGCACATCCTTATACCTAGTCCCAAGGGAGTGCATTTATAGAGTTGATTATATAATTTTATCTTTTTTTTTTTTAAATACTTATCTATTTTTAATAAATTATTTAAATACATTTTTTTTTTTTTATCAGGGTTTTATTAAATAATAAAATGCATTTATTAAAAAGGGTAAATTTTTTTTTGAAGAATTGAAAAAAACTTGGATAAAAATAAAATAAATGCGCTAAAAATTATGATTCTATATTTAAAAAAGGTTTTAATATTATTTTGGTTACCATAAGAAATACAGTATAATAATTGAATAAAGAATATGGTTAAACATTTGGAACGATTTGTTATTTTGTAAAGTTTCAGAATTTTTAGCATGGATTTGGTCATAAATTTAATTGCGTAATGTACCAAAGTCTTGGTTTCAGCCGGGTTTCGGTTTTTAATTTTGTTTCAATTTCAGTTTCAGAAATAGTTTCGGACGGGTAACATGATTTTAGTTGAAATTGATTAAAAAAAAAAATCTTTTACAACACTGTCACTATCCTGATTCTACAAATTCCACCACATTTGGTAAAAAAAAAAAAAAAAATTTGTTATTCCTATCGGAATTAATCAACGACAAGACGAATTATCATTAACATTATAATAATTCTCAAAATAGGCAATGCATGCAAATGGAATGTGTAATCAAATTTAACCTTAGACGGGACTAGAAATTGTCCTTGGGAAATTGGGAAATCATATAACATCTAGATTATCTGAATCAGAACATTTATAAAAGAAAAAAACATTTCAGTTCACACCAATATTTCTTTTTACTTTGGATTATAATTATCGGGTTTTAATTTGTAATTAAATGATGTCTTCAATTCGTTTTGCTCGCGCTTTTTCTTCACGTGCTAATGCAGTAAAGTTCATTGCTAATGCAACACGTCCAAAAACTGTTTCGAGCACAATTCCTTTTCGTACCCTTGCTATTCCAAGTTTAAACCGTTCTTATAGTACTCAACAAACACAACAAAAAGAACAGCCCGAACAAAAAAGTAGTAGCGGTAGTGGTAGGGTGCTATTCTTGTTAGGAGCTGGTCTTATAGGAGCGGGAGCTGGTTATTATTTTTATAGCGCCGCAAATTCTTCAGAAGTTTCTCCTACCATAGCGAAAGAAACCCTTGATTATCAAAAAATTTATAATCAAATAGCTGATATTCTAGAAGATAATGATTGGGATGATGGTTCCAACGGACCAATTTTTCTTCGCCTTGCATGGCATGCAGCTGGCACTTATGATAAAGAATCCAAAACTGGCGGTAGTAATGGTGCTACTATGAGATTTGCTCCTGAATCTGATCATGGTGCTAATGCCGGACTTAAGCATGCTAGAGATAAATTAGAATCTGTTAAACAAAAGAATCCCGCTATTTCTTATTCTGATCTATGGAGTTTAGCTGGTGTTGTTGCTATTCAAGAAATGGTATTAAATTTTTTTTTTTTTTTTTCTGTTCCTTTTTTTTTTTCGGTGAGTTAATTTAACAATATGTATAAACATCTAGGGAGGTCCGACAATTCCATGGATTCCTGGACGGTAAGTTATTTATCTCATTTTTAACATTCATAAATTTTTTTGTTTAATCTTTGTTTATATTATAATTTCTAGTAAGGATGCTGATGTCGCAACAGCGTGTTCTCCCGATGGCCGTCTTCCTGATGCTTCTCAAGGTCCATCTCACGTACGAGATATTTTCTATCGAATGGGATTCGATGATCGGTAACTATTCAATTCCTTTCTAGCTAGTAAATCAAAAACTTGACTTACAAGGTTTTCTGAAAATGTTCGATATAGTGAGATTGTTGCGCTTGTTGGAGCTCATGCCCTAGGTCGTTGTCATACCGATCGTAGTGGTTACCATGGTCCTTGGACTTTTAGTCCTACCACATTTACAAATAGTTTCTTTAAGGAACTTTTGGATAGAAAATGGGTTGATAAAAAATGGAAAGGACCAAAACAATTTGTTGACAAAGAGTCTGGTATGAATCATTTATAATGAGTCAAGTAATGGTTCTTTTCTTTTATTTGATGTTTGATACTTACTCACATATCTATCTATTAGGTGACCTTATGATGCTTCCTGCTGACATGGCTTTACTTCAGGTAATATAATCAATTTGTTTTTAACTAATCACCTTTTAAATTGTTTCAAACTTATATTAAATTTTCTATTATTTAGGACAAAAATTTTAAGGTTTGGGTTGAGAAATATGCTAAAGATGAAGAATTATTTTGCAAAGATTTTGCTGCTGCATTTCATAAACTTGAAGAATTGGGTGTACCAAGATCTGGAAATGAAAAGGTTTATCATTTTAAGCCAACTGGTGAAAATTAGTTTATCATGATAAACATAATATATATATATTTATTTATTTACTGTATATATTTGAATAATTTATGAGATGTTTGATTAATGAAATTATACTATTGTATGTACGTAATCACGCATTAAATATGTTAAATGCCTTATTAAAATTGTGATTCAGATCAATTTTATAAAAGATCCATCATATTTGTGATGAACCCTGTAATCGTAATGTCGTGTCGTTACATCATATGAACATATGAAATTGAACGATTCCCAAAAGAAATTTTTGGTTACCGAAGACGGTCACGTGAGAAAAATTGATGAAGGTTATCGATTGAAAATTTATGATCTTTAACAAAACGATTCAAAAAATTTTCCAATGTCCAAAAAACTCAAAATAAGCGCGAAATCTGAACGTGTCTTTTCTTTTGAAGAACTTGTGCAGCAAGCAGCAGATATTGATAATGAATTGCATAAACTTTCTGATAGTCTGGACGAAGATTCCGTCATCACCAAAGCTAGGACCCAACAAACTTCAAGAGCGTTTTCATCTGAATCAAAAAGTACCTGTAATTAGTAGGAATTGTCAGCAGGAAACTTGGAATGCTATAAATGAAACTCTCGATGAACAAAACGCGTCAAGAGGACTCTATATACATGGACCTTCTGGTTTAGGAAATTCATACACCTTGTATTATATTGTTTCGCAACTCCGTCTGCAACCTGAAGTGTGTAGGGTGACATATATCAATAGTTGTGATGTGTGGTGGAACACATATCAGGAAGATCCATACGAATATTTATTGAACGAGTTGATATGTACTTTCAACATGGATAAGTTACCAACAAAGACCATAGTTGAATGGGCGAATTTTGTAATGCAAGCTTGTGGTTCCGAATTTAGGAGTACAGAATCTTTAAAATTAATAATATGGTAAATTTCCGATTTTGTTTTTTTTAAACATTCTAAGCGGGGATCGCTTTTTAATATTTCTTAATGAAATAAAAAAGTTTGTCTCAGAGAAAAATGTACGTTGGATTTGGATCTTTGATCAGCATAATGCTTTGTATAAGTATAATATTCTTAATATATTTCCCTTTATATTGGTGAAGAGTCTTCCTTCATTTCTAAATAATAATGGACTCATTATTGTTTCAGCATCTACTAATAATGAGGTGTTTCCAAAAGAATTTAAACCATGGAAGCAGTTAAATTTATTTGGTGGTTATGATGATAATGAATTCAATGAATGGTGCAAATTATATAACTATGACATTGATGGGGATCTAGAAACCAAGTCTCAATTGGAAGTTATCAAATTTTGGACAGGCGCCTACCCTTTGGAGTTAGATATATGGCATCAGACACCAGGCAATAACCTGTTAGAGAAGTCCCAAAAATATTTGGCAAATCGAAAAGCAAGTATTGGGTTAAGTCATCAATCTTATATAGAAAGTTTATCAATTGGAAGGGAGGAAAATCTTTCTAAATGTATTACTTCTATGATTCTTCAAACTGTTCCTCCTGAAATGGATTATGGAATGGATCGACAATTGATGCATAAAGATACTATTTTGGTTTGGGAGGTCAAAATAAGGATAAGGATGTAAAAATAAATTGAATTGCCTTCTCACTAATGTGAAAAGTTCTCTATTTTTTTTCTGAAAAATCTGCACAATTGAAGGAGTAGTTATGCCCATCATATAGTTCGTGATCAGATAATTTATGAAAACCGTTCCCTCAGGGAACGATCAAAGTCATGTGATTTTTCTTCAAGGTATTGGATTTAATAAAATTTTGGAATTAAAAATTTGTGATAATATTGTTTTATTTAATGCACTTTTACTATACCAAGAGAATTTTATCATCTCAATGAATATAAGCC